ATGGTGATCTGGGCTGGGTGAAGGGCTGGTCAGCCTGGCCTTCAGAAAGCCAAAAAAACCTGCCTGCCTCACATTCAGGCACACGTGGTTTCAAGGTGTGAGCATGAGAGATGCTTTGTCTTTCTGCAGAGCGTGATGTTGTCTGTGGTTGTATCTGGACTTCCTCTGGTGTGCCGTGGAGCATCCTTACACCTCAGCCCCATCCTGAAGGCATCAGGCAGCCGTTCATTGGTGTCGCAACGAGCCATGGCCTTGGCCGCACGCCTTGGTTTCCTCTGTAGGGAAGGGAATGGCTCTTATGAGCACCCGGCTCTCAGCCAGAAGCAGATGTAGAAGACGGTGGGATCTGCAGCTGGATGTGCAAATGCCAAAGTGCTCCGGGGTCACGGTCATGACTGCAGTCTCTCTTTCGCCCTCTGGAAAAGAGCAGTGGTCCGAGTCCAGGAGGGTCACCCCTTTGTCCTGACCTAATGGCAGAACAGGGGGCTGGTATCTCCTGATGTTGTTGTGTTTCCAACATGAGCATTAAATCCTTGCAGAGAGGTAATCCCCAGCTTTCCGGTAAGGTAAGGATAACATTGACAGTACGTAATTAAAGGGCACTTTTAGGTGGGGTAAACATTTATATTCATTTCCTTCTCAGGCAGATGTCTGGTAAGCTGACCTCCTGAGGCAAAACCATCTGGCCTCAGGTGGGAGGATCTCAGCCAGCGTGGAGGACCTGACCGGTCTCTTGCCAAATCATTTCTCAATAGGTTTTTCTGTCACTGAAGTGGCATCTGTATGAAAGGCCTGTGGTATGGATATTTAGGTTTTATGGGCATTTTTCTTAGATGACCTGCGTAATTACACTGCAGGCTTGTGGCTGCAGGCTCCGTTGTATCTCTGCTTCCCATCGCGTATTCTGGGATCGTCCACGTATAAAATTAGTATGGGCGGTAAGCAGCAGTAAGATGTTCCCTACTTGGATGGATTAAATTAAAATTCAGTAAGAAACAGAGCTTTGGGTGAGTTTCCAAATTACTTGCAGGATTGCACTGAGAAGATTGTTATGGTATTGTAAACCTTTTTGGTGGGTGAACAGCCTGATGCAAGTTAGGTGGTTTTATTGCCTCGCAGCGCTCTTTCTATTTTATGTACTGTGCTGTGTAATCTTTTGTTATTAAATAATAAGCAAAATAAAAACAGTTGTTTGTCACAGCCAGCTTGTTTTTCAGAGAATTTGCTCACTTTGAAAGTTCAGTCTGTGTGATCTCCAGCCCTGTCAGGAGCTATTATATTGAATCATCTTTTAAATTGTTAAGCTGGAGGACAAACCTAGATGTTACCATGCACATCTCAGCTGAGAGCGGAGCGGATTCAGCAGGGAGCAGCGTCTGATGCCATGTACCGTGCCATTAGTTTTCGTTGCGAACATGTCAAGATTATCTGCTTCCAGTGTTATCTGTGTTGGCTGACATGAGCATTTGTAGATCTGCATAATTTTTGAAGTAGTTTGAAATGTGGATATAACACTTGGGGCTGTGTGAAATCTTTTTTTTTTCCCCTTTTATGGATCATATTGCTGTTCAGAAAGTTGCTTGTTTTGTTACTCCCTCCCACAAGGTACTGTATTAATTTGCAAAGTTCATAACAAAAGTGCCCCCAACTAGAAGTCATCATAACCTGTGAACAACTACAGAAACAGTTGGGAAGACCAGGAACCCCATTACTTTCCAGTTGCAACATTACATTTTAAATAGAGGCCGTCATTGCTTTAGCATATATGAGATTGTATCTTAATGCAGGATATTACTGTTATTTATGGAACTTGGCAACCCTGAATTCAGTCTGGACTTTGATGGACAGGGTTTTTCACGTGTAGTGTATAAGTGAATGTGTGTACCTTGGTAGCCTTTTACAGATGAGGTTGAGTCATGCAAGTTAAAAGTTGGATAAGATACTTGAGTTACTTGGGTTTTGAAGCTGCTTTTTTGATTGTTAATACTCAAACCTATCCCAGCCTCAAAAGCAGTCGTGCTCTTCCACAAAGACACTTTTTTTCCACCCTCTGTGGTGCAGCCAGACAGCAGAAGGAGCCCGTATCTGTAGCCATGGCAGCCAGTAATTTATTGCTCCATATGGCTGGTGTGGCAGCAGCTGCTCTGGTTTAAGGAGGTCAGGACATCGGGGCATTTAAGAAACAAAACCAAACCCCACTATAAAAACCTTCCTAAATGGTTTTGTGCAGTAATAATAGGGTTTTCCATAGGCATAAGGAGAGACAAGAGAGAGAAATTAACTTTTCTTTTTATATTTTTATCACTTTTATAACTTTTTTCCTTGTTATATAATTTTAATCAAAGATATTATTTCAAGGGGGAAATAAGTTTTTGTCTTTCTTCACGACGGTTTTACCTTTTTTCAGTTTTCATCACTAGTGTTTGTAGGTAGCACATAGTACCGAGGCACAGCGAGCTGGGCTGTTCAGCCCACGCGGTGAGGGACCCCTTCAGATCTGCACTGCAGTGGGTACCCAGCAGCCAGAGCAGGAGCAGAATCCAACCCGCAGCTTTTGGATGCATTAGATATTAGGCTGAGAGAGAAACTGTATTGCCCAAATTGAATGGCAGCGCTATATTTCTGGTGATGAAGTGAAGATGTATGCTTTGTGAGCAATTATCATGGAACAGAAATACAGCTTTAATTTCAGCTTGGGTGTGAGAATCACTCGCTGATGAAAAATGGTATAGAAGGGCTCCAGATTTAGCACTAAAGTTTGCAAATAGGCTTTTCATAAGTCTGAATCTTTTTATTTTCATTAAGGGACCATTTTAATTAAAATGAAACTGGAATGTTTACTCTTTGCTTCCTATAGCTGTGATTGTTTTCTTCACTGTGTGAGCACATGTATAATTTGCTCTAAAAGAAATGTCAGCAGTTTCTGATTACCTTCTGAGTCTTACTCAACAGCTTGATTTTAATTGGGGGGAGGAAAGATTTCAGGGTGCTCCAGGGAGGTCTGATGTCTTTTGGTAGCAAGAGGAAATAGGTGCTATCTTTGGTACAATGTTAATTGCAATAATCACTACTACTGGTTTAAAATAAAGGTCCTTCATTTCTTACCCTTGTTGGTTTTTTACAGTCATGTCAATGAAATACAACCTGTTTGGTAATTAGCATCCTTCAGCTACGTAACCTTTTGACATTGCTGCATTCGTGTGTTTGTAAGCATCTAAACAGGGTGTCTTTTGGAAAACAGTGATTGACAGTGTGTAGGTAGTCTCAAATTTTAGGAAATAAGGAGGAAATTTTTTACGATGAGGGTGGTGAAACACTGGCACAGGTTGCCCAGAGAGGTGGTAGATGCCCAATCCCTGGAAACATTCCAGGTCAGGTTGGACAAGCTCTGAGCAACCTGATCCAGTTGAAGATGCCCCTGCTCATGGCAGGGGGGTTGGACTGGATGGCCTCTAAAGGTCCCTTCCAACCCAAACCATTCTATGATTCTATGATTCTGTGAAAACTCTACAACTCAAGTTAGATAAAGGAAAGAGAAGGCCAGGCACATAGGGAGGAGTGCATCCATGCCTTCAGATACATTCTCTCTAAGCCCAGAAGTCCACCAGAATTTGTAAGTAATAGATAGTTTATGTGGGTCAAGAGTATCTCTTTCTTGAAATTTTTGATAATTATGAAATTAGACAAGAAGTATCTGTAGCAGAATAATGTGTTCTGGATCCTTTAGTAGTACAGCTCCTGAAGCATTCCCATGGCTTTTTTCTGTTTAGATCTGCTGTAAGGAGATCTAAACACTTGGACTACTTTGGTTGCCGAAATGCCTTTTGGGTCTTGCAAACTATTTCAGAGATGAACAGTTTCTGAACCTTTTTGGAGCTTAGCCAATATCTTGTATTTTATTATTGTCTTCTCCATCAGAGATAATGATCTGAGTCTCCCCTGCTCACTCTCTGGGGTTTTGTTTCCTCCTGCTGATTATTTGAAATAAATAAATAAGTAGGAAAACAACCAGTATCTGTGTGTTAACAGGGAGGAATGACTAATAGAAAAATGAGAAGAAAGATACTGCTTATCATAAAAGACTGTATCTCTGGAGACATAAATTGGTATTCATTAAGTTGTTTGCCTAGACTTAGTTAAAAGACGTACTTGAGGAGCTGTCTGAGCAGTGTTTCAGTAGAAAGCAAGTCATCCTCTTCCTGACTAGATACACCTAGATGAGGAGGAGAGACCAGAAAGCAGCACTAAATGATGGATTGAGAGCAGCCTTCATGGCAGTACGGAGACAACAGGCTATGAAATGTTTTCCAGAAAGAACAATATTTAACACTTAGCTGTGGAGTAATACTGATCCATCTTTTCCCCCCAGATATGCAGGTCTCTCTCGTATCTGATGCAGAATTTTTAAAAACGCTTATGTTCAATTTCTGTCATTTTTCATTCAAGGTGTGCAGCGTCCCCTTGTTTTTGATGATGATTTCTGTAGCTGGAGGTTAGAATTTTGCCTGTGGTGATTATGATATCCTGCGTGTATAAACTTACTGGTATCCTCAGTATATCATCAAATACAGGGAAGTAGCTGCAGAGCGGTGCTGGGTAATTCAGAGCATGGCTCGGTTTTGCCATGTCCGCATTCTTCCAAAAAATTAGTTGAGTCTTTTGACTTTTGTTAATACATGACAAAACCACCTATTTCAAAGACCTTTGGACTGAGCTGGGGCTTCAGATTGAGATGAGGTTTTGCTGCTGTGCTGGTTGACAGGCATCTCTTCTTATTGTCCTGAACTGGGGCAGATGCTTACAAGGGAATATGTGTATTAATTATTGTGGAGTCTGTGGCGCTCTGCTCTTTACTTTATCTTATATCTTTAAAAAAGTAATTGCACAACGTAACACTAGCAAAGTGCTTTCACTGCTTGGAGAGTGAATCCTCTGTGTCAAACTCTTGTGCATGGTGTAACTTTTCTGATGTTCACCATTTCTTCTTTCCTCCTTTCCAGATTAAGACCCTTAATTTCAACACAGCTTGCTAAAAAGGCTGCCACTGAAGAGGTATGTAAAGTCCAGCACTTCTCCTAGTGCAACAGTTTTGAGTTTGTAAATTCCCACAAGCCTTTCTCAGCCCCGCTCTAGTTATGTGGTAGATACAGGCAAAAGAAGTGAGAGTCTTGTCTCTCTGATCAGACCAGGAGCTGGTTACTGCAGAGCTGAGGTTGCCTGTTTTCTAACCAAGATTTTCCCTTACTTATCCATCAGTAACATTAGCACAGCCTCATAACGCCTGGTTAGACAGCAAAAAAGAGAAAACTCCCTGCAAGCATCTAAAAAGTTACATATCAAAAAAATGGGTAGGAGGAGTAGGAGAGAGCAGAGCTCGTGCCTGTTTCTCAGCACTTGGAGCATCCCCGCAGGGAAGGGGGATGATGCAAAGTGCTGCTTCTGTGCAGCCAGCACTGACCCAAAGGAAGGGCTGGGCTTCTGCAGGAGACCGGTGAGGAAACACAAAGTGACAGCTTACCCTATATAGCGTGGCTTACTCTTTGGTTGGTTGGTTTGTTTAGTTTGAAAATATCATAGTGCCATAGAAAAGTTAGTGCTAGTAACTGGCCACCGCCAGAAACCCTCCTTGGGTGGCTTTGTGCACTTGCATTTTCTGCCAAAGGGATCATGATTATTATCAGAGTCACAGCGATAACTGCTTTTTTTCACTATTATTTTCACACCGTACAGAGTAGACATACGCATTTTGTGTATGATAAAATAACGGTCTACTGCGCATCTAAAAATTCTGTTCCTAACATACCAAAGGTATTTGTCCTTCTTCTTTTTCCCATGAACGTGTGACACTGAGAGCCTTTTGAAAGTGAACCAGTTAACTTGGGTAGTTTAACATGCTTTGACAATTGCCCATGCATACAAAGATACATGCCAAACTGAAGTCCAGGATGTCTGGAAGTGAATTCAGGAAGTTCTATTTAAAGGCGTTGTTTGACTGCCTTATTTTTAAAATGACTAAAACCCATTGATTTTCAGAAATGGTTTGATATCCTGCCTGGGGAAATACATTTTCACTTCTTATGCTATGCTCATTAGAAAACTCTGCACATTTTTAGAAGTATAGCAGTCTGGAAGTGGACATGATAATTAGAAGAAGGTCACATTTTAATTAGCATGGTGCAATTTTAAAAAATAATGACTCAATTGTAGCTCCTTTATATTCACCCACTTTTTCAAAGCAGATGGCTACTTTTAAGCATATAAATTGATATATATTATGATGCTGATTCGTCTCAAACCTTTGTGTCTATTTCTGCTTATACTGAAAACCTAGATGGACTCAATTTGATCACTCTAGAGGCAAAAGCAGTGGTAGGAAATATAAAATAAACTGGAGGGAAGTTTCTCTAAATAATGTGATTAATTTGAACATTAAAAAATCATGAAAACCTGTCTTTGAGTGATCCGAATATCTAAATACTTGATTTTCTATTAAAATTAATGGGTGTCTTTTGCCCTGTTAATGAGCTATTGGAGCAAACCCTTAGGTGACTTTGAAAAACTCGGGCAGATTCTTTAGGTTGACTGTCATGGTATATGACAAGTTCAGGAACAGCTTTGATGTTTGAATAATTAGACTATCAACTTTCTGGTACAGGGATGTTTCTCTTATGGTGTATCTCTAAAGTGCCTGGAGTTACAAGGATTCTGGGAGTTACTGCATCCCAAGTAAATACATGTAGAAATAAATAAATAAAAAAAAAGTTATAATGACGAATCAGAACTTACTGCCAGTGGAATTGGAGAAGATGCAGCAGTACGTGGTTGTGTACTGTAATTTAAAACCTAAAGCACTGTAGGACTTTTCTTGTGGTAGGGACCAGAAGAGTTGGTGTTTCCTGGTCTCCTTTGGACCATTCATTGTTAGGAGCACCTCACCATTGTCCTTGCCAAGGAAGCGTCCCAGTCTTTTCTGTCTTTCCCAGTAAGGGAGATGACTCTCAGTGCTGATAATTGCTGACTAGTGACAGGTACAGGTATTCTTTTCTCAAAATTGCTTACATGACAAAGCAGTGTTAATGGTTAATCTTGAATGTTCTTCAAGTTGCCACTAATGGGATGTCTTTTTGGGCCACAGGCTCTAGTGTACAAACCCCAAATAGCCCAAGTGCAGAACGGAGGTGAAAAGTGCCCTTTTACAAAGCTGGTGGGGATAAAGCTCCTGTGATATTTCTTCCCTGTATGAGAAGGGAGGTGGAGCCCTAGACTGAGCACACCATGGAAGTGAGAGCTCCAGAGAGACCAGAGCCTGGGCTGTCCTCGGGCAGACCACGTTGCTGGTTCCTGCCCCGTTCTCAGATGTGTCACTAGTGAACCGAAAACAATGCTACCTTCTCCAAATTCACCTGTCTCCTTGTGGTGTTGCCCTTTTTCTCCCTCCCTGCTGTGTCCTGCCTAACCTTGGAGCAGCTGGGGAGGTGCATGTATGGAATGGGTCCTGTCAGTGATCAATTTGCAAGTTAGTGTTTGGAGATCATTATTCTGATGAATTCCATAGGTAATGTTACAGGTGCTGGCTTGTATTATCAACCTAGTGCTCTGCCATCGCATTAAGTGCTGTCTAAAGAGAGCTATTTGTTCCACACCTCATTGTGCCTCCAAATAAATCCAACCAGAGCTGTCAAAACTAATACATGTTGGGTTTTTTCAGATTTGAAGGGTACATTTTTGCTATCATTAAAGTGTTAATAACGTTGTTATTGTGTAATAGGCCTGATGCGAGTCGAGGACAATGAGGAAAAGGTTGTAAGTTTTCCTGCAGAGCTCTACTGAGGAGCCTTCACTCCCAAATTTCTCCTTACCTTGTGCTTGCAAGAGGATCCTTCTTCCACTGTTACCATCTGGATATTTCAGTTACCTGTCTATGAATTATGTGAAAACTGGATGTTTGTGCCCAACTTTCATTTGGGCAACATTTCTTTAAGCAACTTGCATGTCCCCTAGAACAGCTCTTCCAGCTCTCCTGTCCCTATCGTTTGGAAGCTGCTAAAGTTTGTACAAATAATTGAACAAAAGGAAGGGCTGCTCTACTGTCCCCTCTTCTTTTTTGCAGGTGACCTTTCCAAATGCACAAGCAGAAGCCCCTGACTTAGAAAAACCAGCAGCTGTGCTAGTGGAGAGTGGCCCAGTAGCTTATAACCCTGATGAAGAGGTGGAAGAGGAAGAAATAGAAGAAGATGATGATCACTGCATGAGCGCTTTGCAGTTAATGGGAGGAAACGGTAAGCTGGGATTACCGTCTGCTGGTGCTGTGGGGTTCATTGTTCCAGGGCTGAGGACAGACAGGGTTCCCCTGCAGCTCATCCCATGCAGAGCTCCTGCTGCCTTTCAGGCATTGCCTGTTCCTGTGGGAAAGCCTGGATTCACCCTTACCCAAAACCTGACCTTCTTAGAGGCTCCTCCTGAGAAAACTTTGCATCTCGAGCTTTAGGCTAAGAGGGCTTCTCAAGAACAAACTGATGTTACGCCTTCCTCAGAATTAGGTTTACTGATGTGGATCTGAGGAATTATGGGTGTCAGTAACCCCTCCGCTAGCAGTGCTTGGGGCCCGTCGCCGCCTGAGCCGAGCCGCCCTGCTCCTGCCTGCCTCCTCAGCTGGGGCTGCAGTGACATCCAGATTGTCTGGGAGCCCTGTGGACATGGCTGTCCAGCTCAAAACAACACCAATTGTCACACTCTATTTCTGGGGAAAGTGTTAGGAGGAAAGAGTTCTTCACCAAGTACAGAAATTGCATTGGTAGCATATGGCGTGCTGTATGGTACACAGATGTGTGCTAATTTATTTGGGTTACCCAGCAAAGCCACTCGTTTAATTAGATTTCTTTGCTGGCAGGAAAAGGCAGTATCCTCTCCACTGCCGTTTTTCCTAGCTGGACACATCCACATTTATCCCTTATTAAAAACTTCCCCTTAGAAGTTAAGCTTTGAAAATATACAAAAATATTTTTAAAATGAGAGCTGCTAATTATGGGTTGTGAAAAAACATGATGGGAATAAGTTTCCTACTGAAATGTTATTTACTGCAAAAATCTTTCCAGTACTATTAATTTAGCTTTCATGGACAATATGTATACATTTCACAAAAGTGTGTGTTGCTTTTAAATTGATTTCTCCACT